GAACCCATCAGAATGGAAACGCATCAACGACGTCACTACTCAGTGGCACACAGACAGATTGCAGTCTTGCAACTGCTGTTTCTCTGAAATCATCCATATACGCTGTTGTTTGACCTACCATTGTGAGCACCCTTGTACCTTTGGTTTATGGTGTCTATTTTAAATTAAAAGGATTATCTGCACCAGGTTGGGCGCCCTTTTTTCTCTTTTGTCTTACACTAAGGAAGCGTTTATAGGTACACTGCCTCATTGCCATTTTTGCAAGTCAAGGTACAGAATGGTTACATAGTGGAACGTGCACTTCAATTTATAAATATTTTTACACAAGATTCACACAACGTTCACCGAGGATCAACACATTTCCAATTGAATCTAACTAGTAAACTGATAAATCTTGGAGTGAAATAATTGACACCTTATTGTTTATTGTTTTACTGCAGTAAGAGAGATTTAATTCCGGAGATTGAATGTGGCATCAAGACGCTACAATGGCTTGCAAAAGTATTCATTCCACTTGGCATTTTTCCTATTTTGTTGCATTACCAAAATAGGAAAAATAGGAGTTAAAAAAAAATGGGGGGGGGGGTTAAATCATTTGGTTTACACAACATGCCTACCACTTTGAAGATGCAAAATATTTGTATTGTGATACAAGCAAGAAATAATACAAACAGAAAACTTGAGCGTGCATAACAATTCACCCCCCCCAAAGTCAAAACTTTGTAGAGCCACCTTTTGCAGCAATTACAGCAAAAAAGTGGGATTTCCTCTTCATATCAAAGCACCCCTTTAACATCAGAGCTCCCTTTTAAATCATGAGTCCCCCCCTTCATATCAGAGTCCCCAGTCAACCTTCATATTAGAGTCCTAACATCTGAAGATTTCGAGGCACCCCTGAGGAAGCCAGAAGGCACCCCATGATACCATGGCACAATGGTTGAGAAAGATTGGTCTAACCCTTCTCCATTCTATGCAAAACTTGCAACAACAAAAAAAAACAGGTTTTGCCTTTAACTGCCAATCTATGGTAGTTGGAAAACACAGAAGTATTGTGTCAGGAGAGTAATCAATCCAAATGTCATCTCTGCAGCACGAAGGTTTATTGAAACGGTGAAATGACGCAAAGATGGAAATGAGCCCTTAACCCTTGCAGTACGAGGGTAGCCCCACTGCAAGGGTTCAGTGCACGATTTCTTCTTTAAGGATTTATATCCTTTTTGTTCCAGGCATGTTCCATGCACTAAAATAAAGAAAACGCCTGGACATTAACCCCTTCCCGACTAATGACGGAATTATTCCATCACCGTCTTCTAGTTCGTTACAGACCGTGGACGGTAAAATGAGCGCGGTTCCGTGTAGGGACCAGCGCTCATTAAGGTAATGCTGTTGTAGGGTCCGTCTGTGTTCGAGGTAGACCTCGAACAGCAATTTAGGGGGTCCCAGCACGGTGATCACTGCGAAAGATGATCGCAGTAATCAGCGTGTTGTGACGGCCACTGAGCTGGCTTACAGTGTTGTGGAGCTGCAAGTCTGTTCAGTGTATTACAAAAGTGATACAAAGTTTCTCTAAGGAGAATAAAGTATCTCATCAGCATACTTAGTATCCAAAGCCCCTGTAAATAAAAAATAAAAAACATTTACCCTTTTAAGAAAATATAGTGCGGAGGAGACTATTAAAGATGGAACACAAACCTATCACAAATAAAATAATTTATTACGCATTAACTTTCTGTTAGCTACACTAATTATGTACACATTATTATTGCCAAAGTTGTGAAAAAATTTGAGAAACAGGATGCTTGCTGAACTAAACCAACCATTGTAATGTTTTCACTTGGTTCCACTACAATACTTCACCAGCAGATGGCGTTATCTGTAATTTCAGCTCTGGACTATAGCCTTGCAATTTATGTAAACATTTGGGGACAGATAGAGCTTTCTTTTGAAGGTATATAATCATCACAGGGGGGAGGGTTTACTATATAATGAAAAAAGTACCATAAATGTAAAAAAACAAAAACAAAGTTTCCCTACGTTATGTTATAAAACATTTATTCTTACCCATATTTTTAGTAAAACATAAAATTCGGGGTAAATAGACACCAAACATGTCAAGCCTTGCACCCGCAAAAAACGCCCATAGGCGACGATTAAAACGCTTTTACTGCTCATCAGTTTAGTATTATCAGTGATTAATGGTTCTAAAATTATTGCTCTCACTCCGACGTTTGCGGCGATATTGCGGCACAATCGTCATTTTCGCAGGTAGGCGCACCCGACGCATATCTGAGTATGTGGGGGGCGGGGACTTAAAAAAATTTTCTTTTTTCATTTTTGTTATGATTCTTTAATTTTAGTATTACTTTTTTTTTTTTTTCTTTTTTTACACACAGCTTTATTGCTATTACATGGGGGGCTATTACATGGGGGGGCTATGTAATAGCCAATTTACATGACAGGTCCTCTTTATGGAGACATCAGGGGTCTCCAAGACCCCTAATGTCACCTAGGGACCCCCAGAGAAGCTGATGAAGCAGAGATCGGCTTCATCAGCTTCTGTAGCTGGAGAGTGACACTGAATGCAGGAACTGATGTAATCTACATCACTTCCTGCATTCGGGGACTGAGAGGAGATCAAAGGAAGTTCGTATACTGAACTCCCTTTGATCTCCTGTCACAGAGCCGTGCTGGTCCCACCTCCTCTTTTTTTTTTATGGCCCTGTATACTGTTTGCTCAAAAAACTAAAGCATGCTGGATAGAGTAGGCTTACATAAAATTAGGTACTTGTGTCCATTAAAAAGGTGGTGAATCTTGGGACCGGCAGTGACAGCTGCTAATACAAGCGATCGAGCGTCTCTAGAGATGCCCGATCGCTTGAATGTAAAGCTCCCGGCTGGCTGTGACTTAGGCCCCTTTCACACGGTCTGATCAGCAGGGGATCTATACACAGATCCCCTGCTGGTCGCAGTGGTACAGATTGGATGTCACCGCTGTAAAACGACCGGACCCCATGTTGGTCTATGGGGAATCTGATGCAGCATTCAATACCCCAATACAGCATTCAAATAAAAGCCAATTTTGTCCTTTAAAAATACGGTATAGAATATGTTTAAGTGCAGTGAAAAAGGAAGATGGAAATTATGGTTAAACAAACGCATAGCAAAAATTTAAAAATTGATCCGGTCCCCAGGAACAAAAACATTTTCTGAAGCTGTGTCACTAAGGGGTTAAAATATATAAGCTGCAAAGTCTCCCTCTGCCCTACCCAAACAGAAGTGCAGCTTCAGCAAAAATACAGTATAGTATTCATTGCAATAAGCAGATTTCATGCCTGCGTTGGTTATTTTGGGATTCCGCACTATCCACAGTATCAAATGACAGAGGTGAGCATTACTGCATAGCCAAATACTGCAAATGTATAAAGTAATAGACATTACAATAAAGAAGGCCTGTCATCAACACACAGCACATTCACCATATATAGGCTTTTCTTTTTATAGGGTAAAGAAAAAAAACCTTGTCAAGACCCTTGTCAAGTTTTTTTGCTGTGTGTGTCCCGTTAGGAAGATTTTCTATTACTTCAAGTCCAGGAAACACTGAAAATGAAAGAAAATATTTCCAAAATAAGTGGAAATTCCCTCTTAGAGTTGTCACCAGACCCTTTACTTCCGGTTCTGATGACAATCAGGGTACCAAGAGAGGGTAAGTTTCACCACAACTGGAGTGCTGAGGTTGCCAGGTTATTGTTAGATATTTTTACATATGCTTTCATGTAAAGCTATTTTGTGGCTGGTTGCTCTGGGTTAGATTAGAGAGCACCAATGATCTAACACATACATACATGGTACATGGAAAATACCATGCGTTATATCTTTGTGTATTGAGCTGAATGAGACTATATACATTTTAAATTTCATGTGTAAATATAAGCTCAGAAATTAGAGGCAAAGATATTATTTGTTATATCTAGAAAAATAACATATTGCAGCAATGACGGGCGGTCCGATTAGGTCCACCTGTCAGTTTTTTAGGCGGAACTGTTCGGATGCCCAATATAAAAGTCTATAGGCAGCAAGATCTAAATGTAAGGGTGTCCGTTTACATCCGGTTGGCTCTGGCCAAGTCTGGAAGAACAAACGGAACAATGCCAGACCTGATCGTGCCGGATTGGGGGTAATCTGATGTAAACGGACACATGTCCATTTGCATCCGATTTAGGGTTGCACAGATACCAAGTACAGTACTCGGTACAAGTACGAGTAAATGTACCGATACTTTTGAGCTCCAAGACTAGACTAGAGAAAAATTCAAATGTTAGGAGGCAGCTGTCATTTGGAAGGAGCACACAGAGCTCCTGGGATTTGTACATCTCCGTTTTAATGTAGGATTTTGTTTTTATAAATAAAGGGATACCAGTTTTGCGAGTACCAGTACTGGTACTTGCCGAGGACTTACAAGTACAAGTACATTTTTGTTTATTGTCATGTGACAGTTTTACTAAAACCATACAGACTAATGATTTCAGGATAGTGGTGGAGCGCCAGAGCCCGGTCCCAGCTGCAACCCTGGTAGTTCTCATGAAAATGCCAAGTATCAGCACTGGTACTCGAAAAGTATCTGTGCATCTCTAATCCGATTCCCCGTAGACCAACATGGGGTCCGGTCGTTTTACAGCGGTGACATCCAATCTGTACCACTGTGACCAGGAGGGGATCTGTGCATATATCCCCTGCTGATCAGACAGTGTGAAAGGGGCCTAAAAGTACTTGGGCTTGCACGGCTAAAAAATTATTTCCAGTTTATCCAGTTCAGCAAGCATCCTGTTTACAAATGCGGAATAACAGATGGGGACTTCTGAACATAGGAATGAACCCAAGCAGATAGGGGATATCAATCAAAACTGGAAATCATGCTTAAATGCCAAGGCAAGTACAGAAGAATACAACAACATGTTTATGAATCAATGGGAACACAACATGCAGTAAACTGATGTAGAGCCTTACCAGATCATGCCTTCAAAAAGATTCTGGATGACAAGATGAGACTGAGTGACAGTGATCAGCAAAGTGACATGAGTCCATCCAAACTGTTAATGGGGACAACAATAGCACAATGAGCACAATCAGAAACAAAACATGTGACTAAAAACATGACTTGTGCATCATACATGATGTAAAAGAGAAAGCCTGTGTATTAAATATGCAGAATTGTAATTTAGGTTTCAGGAGCTGTCCATGAATGGGTGTTCATCATTGATCACCAGCAGACAAGCCTCACAAGATCCATACCATGTCCAGTACACCGCTATACAATATTTTACATATATTGCATGGGCAGATCACAGCATTAACCACACATTTACATGGAAAGGGGAAGTGTGCTTTGAGTGCCATTCTTTCTCTGCCTCTTTCAGCGTGATCCAGTTCTTTGCTATTTGGATCTTAATTTAAAAATTAATTCTGTTGTTTGTACATATTGACAAGTAAATATGGGGGAAAGAAGGAAGTAATTACTTCCCGCTATGCACCACATGACCAAACATTCTTCCAGCAACTTGCACAGCACATATTAGTTCTATTACGTTATTTGGCAAACATGACAGTTTCACTGCTGCAATCAACATACTCATGATCTGCAAACGATCAGATACACCAGGGGTTTTACTAATTAATCTCTAGTGTTTGCATTGATGAGACATAATCTGCAGCAGGTTATCTTTATATACTGCAACCACCTGCTTTAGGTTTTACATAGAACAGATAAGAGCTTGTTTTACTGCCAGGTTTTTATTAGGGCTGCAACAACTAATCGACTAAATCGATTATTGAAAAAGTGGTCAACGTTTCCAATCATCAATTAATCGGCTTCCGATTAGTTGGCCCTGTTCATGGCTGCGCGCCGCACCTCCCCCCACCTCACACTCGCTGCTGCCAGACCCGCCCGCATCCACACCTCCTCCCTGCCTCGCGCTCACCGCCCGTCCACATCCACGAGAAAAAGAAGTAAGGAGGAGCAGGTGTGGGGGGGATGACAGCCGCCGATAAGACAGGCCTGATCTCAGAAGCAAGTTGCTGGAAGCCTGCTCAGGTAAGCCTGCACTTTCCCACACATGGTGCTCTATAATGTATTGCTGGGATGTGTATTCCTCTATAGCTGATGTTACATTGTGCTGTATATTATACATACGAATACAAATCCCAGCAATACATTATACACTTTATGCATAATGTATTGCTGGGATTTGTTGTATTGCTATATAGCTGAGGGTATTCTGCATTGCGCTGTACAGAGGACTACAAATCCCAGCAATAATACATTATACAGTGGTGCAATGCCGAATACCACCAGCTATAGAGGACTACAAAATCCAGCAATAATACATTATACAGCGCAATGCAGAATACCACCAGCTATAGAGGACTACAAAATCCAGCAATAATACATTATACAGCGCAATGCAGAATACCACTAGCTATAATGTACTATTGCTGGGTTTTGCTGTATTCCTCTATAGCTGATGGTATTCTGCATTGTGCTGTATAATTTTACACTTTCCATGTCACTATATTGCACACCAAGCAGGCTCCTGTGATGGACTACAATCTCAATACAAACTAGTAGTCCATCACCGGAGCCATTTTTAAAAATATTTTATTTTATTTTTTATCCGATTAATCGAACTTAATAATCGGCTAACTAATCGATTTTGAAAATAATCGTTAGTTGCAGTTTTTTATTGCCCTTCCCTTTACTTCTTCTCCTGCTGACCACCAGGGCAATGCTGTGATCTGAGCTTCCTGTTTCCACTCTTGAGGTTTCATTCCTTACATATTCGTGTTGAGAATCCAGTAGAGAGCCAAAACCCCATCACTATTCTCCACATGCGGAATGTACTCCAGAGACTGGAAACAGGAGAGGCCTTTGCTTTGTTTTTATATGTGAAGACAATGTGGAGTATACATACAAAAAACTTTTCTTGTTAGCTAGTGATGTCAGAGAAGATAGAAAATCTAGAGTTTATTTACACAGTTCCACTATAATAAACACAATATAATCCACAAATGACATGTAAAAAAACAAAGGTTATGTTGTGTAATAGAAAGGATTTTGTTTTATAATAGAGCATTGACACATTTGTACAGCATCGCACTTAACTTTGATAGGCTAAACGTTGTCAGCAGGCATCATGCTTATCTAATCTGACATAAAATCAAACATCATGCTAGTAAATTTCAGTTACTCATTGAACACTACAGTTAACGCAACACACAAAAACCATTACTACACGTTGCCTAAGGAGAAATCATTAGAACTGGGTACTGTAACATGAAACTGTGCATAGTCAATAGTTTATATTAGGGCATGTTGATACGTATAGGGGGTGTAATGGAAGTTACTGAATAGAAGGCAGCACTACATTTATCAGAATGCATGAATGTGGAAAGAGAGCATTGGCTTTGGTCCTGTCACTAGAATGAGAAGGAAGCTTCACTATGTATCTCTATTATGTCACATGGGCCACTGAAAGATAAAAAAAACATGACATATGAATCTGGCATAGAGAAGATACTTTCAGATGCTAAAGTAGCCTTAGCATCAGATACATTTTCATTAATAGAGAACTATGGGGCAAGTGTTTTTCCCCATAGTTCTCTTTAGGGTCACGGGAGGACATATACTAACCTCCTCCCGTGACCCAAAGCTCAGTATATTGCGAGCTACAGCTCACGGTATACCGAGACCGCCCCAGCCGGGACGGATCCCTACATTACTGTGGAGATCCACCCAGTTGCGTGATCAACAGCTGGCTCTGCCTATCTGGAGGCTGAGCCAGCTATACCTGCCCCCTCCCCCATCCGTTCCACCAGTCAGCGCTGGAGGATCAGAGCGGGGAGAGGGGGTGGGAATCCCTGCAGGGAGCCGTAACTGACAGTCACTGCCCTCTGCAGGGACATGATCGAGAAGTGAGCGAGCGACGGTATGTGTTTGCTCACTTCCCCATCTATTGAGACGACTTTTGACAGTTTAATTGTCACACATCGGCTCGAACTATGAGGATGAGTGATTTTCACTCACCTCATAGTTCTCCTTTAAGTGTATGCAGGCTTACGTGCAAGTGATGTCTGATAGGTATTTATTCTTTCTCATAGAGATCACAATAACCTGCTTTGCTCTCCAAAATGAGGGTAGTTTCAGAAACTACTTCCTGGACTTGGATACTGACTCAAACAGTACACAATTATGTAAATCCTGGTGTCTGTGCAGATCTTGGCTGTGTTTGCCAATGACTGACACAGATCAGCCCCTCTGGCAGCCTCTCACCTTGTAACTTGCTGAAAATTACAAGAACGCTGCTCACTAGAGGAGAGGAGGCTGAGGAAATGCTTCTTCCTACTTGCAGCAGACTGATTACATCATCTTAGCAAAGTCACTGGACTGGAGCTAAAAGGGTGGCTTTTTAAGGAGAAAAGGTGGATCTTTCTGGAAAAATGATTCTGTTGCTGTAAATGTTGCGACATGTAAAGAATGTAATCATATGGACGTGTAAAGTTACTGAAAGGTCCACTTTAATATTTGTTACCATGTCTATGAACCATCTTACTATTAAGACAGCTACAAATGGCTTCAGACATCACATATAATTGGAAGAGAAAATGCAATTGCATCATTTCATATTTCTCAAACCTTTTCACAAAACAGATTGGTATATGCATTTTGGCTGCTATAAGAAGCAGAGGGTCTTTACTTTCTGGCACATTTGATACGTCAGGCCGTTGTGTATAGTGTGTTATAGATTGCTACAGACTCATGTTAGGAGTACTGATCTATCTCAAGTAAATAAAGTTCACCCATTGAGATATAACAGTATACATGCAGGTTACTTTTACAGTGTGGAAGTTGTACGCATTAGTACAGGTTAAGGAAAACCTGTCAAGACTTTGGTCAATTCAAGTTTGAAGTTGGCAGTGCCCCTTACTTCTTTTGGTCAGTGAGGCTGCTGTTGACTAGGGTAACCAATAGAAGGATTTGGAGTATGGAATAGGCGGGACAATCTCTGCTTTTGCAAGGCATAAGACTTGATTCACAAAGCTAAGCTCATTGGACTCAGTCAATGTTCAGCTGACCAATTTTCCACCTGGCTCAGTTCACACTGGGTAGTGTCGCAACAGCTCAGATTTTGACCCATTCAGCAGGAATTCAAGCCGTGTATTTGAGCCATGTATGGCTAGCTTAACTTTGGATCTGCTGACCATTTGGACATACAGCTCTCACTAAAGGGAACTTGTGCTCATGCATTTTATTATCTTATGTTCGGCTGGAATTGTCCATGTTTGTGACAGGTTTACTGTGGCACTAGCAAGCAGACACTGCTGTAATTCTACTGTACATATACTACAATATTTGTAGAGGACAATTAATACACACCATGTAAAACTGAAGACGGTACTGCTTCTTCACTAAACTCAAAACAAACATGCAGAAACCTGTATGACAGAAAAAACAAAAAACATGCAAATGACTTAACATCTTTGTGTGCACATGTAAAAGTAAACACCTTGGAAGTAGAACACTCAAATTAAATAGACAGAGGGATTAAATGCTGCTTGCAACTGAGAATGCCACTGGCACAAATCTTCAGATGATAAATGGCAAGAAAACATGTACATAAGCACAGCAAAAGGTTATGAACAACACGGGAGACTGCACACAGAACATGTTAATTGAGTTTCCAGCATAAATTAACTTTTAATAAATGAAGCTCAGACTCCTCTAGGTAGTCTAAATGAGTTAGAATTATTCTCTCAGATATATTATGCAGACCATGCCGTTTAATACTGGTTGTAAAAATGTTTGATCTAAAACCACACATATGCCATAGCAGAGATGATGGGAGGATTTCTATTGTTGCGCACACAAGCATCAATTTTGAGTGACTTCCTTGATATGATTAGAAGTTTTTACTGCATTGGAAAGCTATTTTGTTAGATCCTTGTTTTTAAATCAGCATTGCAACCTTAAATAAGATCTACCGTATATACTCGAGTATAAGCCGTCCCGAATATAAGCCGAGGTACCTAATTTTACCACAAAAAACTGGGAAAAAATATTGACCCGGGTATAAGCCGAGGGTGGGAAATGAGGCAGCTCTGTAAGTGGAAAAGGGGGTACAGGGCAACATATCTTGTACTACGGATCATTTAACCCATTCATATTAGCAGAGGATAATTGTAAATCTATTGTTCAGTGCATTCTATATGTAGTATATAGTACATGTACTTATAGAGTGCCTGCAACAATACATTTACAATGATCCTCTGCTAACATGAATGGGTTAAATGATCCATAGTACAGGGCTACATACAGATCATTTAATACATTCATGTTAGTATAATTGTAAATGTATTGTCTGCACTGTATTAGCAGTATATACGAGGGGGGCACTTTTCAGCAAAAAAAATGGGCTGAAAAACTCTGCTTATACTCGAGTATATACGGTAATCATGTACTGCCTTACCAACAACTACGTAGTGAATGAGCTTGCGTTATTGGATGTACATATAATGGGTTGTATAAATCTCCTTCTGCAGTACAAAGTTGTTGGTCAAATTAAAAAAGACTGCTCCTCAACCCTTCTGGCGAGAGATTCAGGTTGAGATTAAAGTCCTCCTCGACATGGACATACCTCTCACACCAGCCCCTTACCTACTGCACTCAGTACCCAACACCATGACTAAATATAAATCTAGCCTTCTCCCCCCACCTCCTCAATGCGGCCAAATGCTTGATTCTGCGCTACTGGAAGAAGACCGCTGTCCCCACGATGGAGTAGTGGAGCGGACAGGTATCGGGAATCCGGATCTCTGAGGAATGGCTAGCCCAATGCAAGGACAGATACGATAAGTATTACTCCACGTGGGCCACATGAATTCATCGCCACCCAGATTAGTTATTTAGTTATATAGTTATTCAGGAAAAGGGTGTCAATAATGGCAGACTGTCTTCTTGCACTTCTTTCCCAACC